ATATATGTCACTAATCAAAATTGTAATTGTATAAAATGAAATATATTTTTCAACCGTATTATAAATAAATATCATATCTAGCCGAAATAATAAAAATTGAATTATTTTATTGCATTAAACACATTACTTTATTTTTAATCAAATCGATACATGATTTTGTGATCGCTTTCTGCAAAACGATTTTAATCTTATGCAACAATAGTAAAAATATTATACAAGATGGGAACGGGATGTAAAGAGATCCGAACGGAATGTAAGCATATATTTTCATACAAAAGTCTTAGAACATGTTACAATTAAAATTAATTAACGCTTGCAGTTTTATATGTAATTTTGTTTACATCATCTAGCATAAAAATGTTCAAAGTGAAAATTAAAAAAAACTTAAAGTATGTTCGATAATAGTTAAAATATTTAAAACAAAGAAACATAACCAATATGTATGAACTAAATATATAATAATAAGAATAAAGAAGTCAATTATTTTTGTAATTCATTATTATATTATACGGTATATAAAGATACTCACATACAATTCAAGTGAAACAAAAAAAACCCTGAGAGCTAACTCAGAAAAACTACAATAAACCTATGAATTAAAAAAATAGAAATACCTAAATCTGTAGGAAACAAAAAAGCTAAATTTGATTGTTTGAATTGAAGAAAGTAATGGGAAATAAAGATGAAATTGAACGATCAATAACATTAAAAATTGAACAAGGATTGTGTATACTCGGATTAGAAGCAGTGACTTGTGAATGAAAATGGTGGGAGCATGTGACTTATTAAGTAGAGTTTTATTAATGTGAAAAAATAAATATTTAAACGAGGAATACGAGTATTCCGTCTAGATCTCTTGCCAAGTTTCTTATAATAAACATTAGCAAATAATTATGTTTTTAAAAGGAAACGATTGTGGGACAGAAATATATGATGGATAGAGGACGATACAGACAGGACGGGACGAGACGGGACGGGTTGGGACGAGACAGGAAGGGACGGGTCGGGACGGGACATGTTTCTCATTCTAACTATACGTAAAATAATTCAAACTAAAGCCAAATCCAAATCCGATTTAACATCTCTAAGCAAACAGTTAGAAATGTTTTGATTAGTTTAAAAAATAAACACGTAATATCATTTAACATTTTCATTTAAATTATTTTAAAACTATATTAAGTAAACAATATCTATATTTTACAATTG